ATGTGTGGCGCTTCCAGTGCGAACAGTGCTGTGGTTGCTGACCAGAACCTATGCACCCCTCCGCCCCATGCACCGTCACGCCCAATGATTCATCGGTGGCTTGGGCGAGCTGCGTTGCCAGCCGCGGCGCGGTAAGGGCGTCACGTCTGCTGTTTGCTGTCCAGCACGCGTTGCGCAATCTCGTCCACGCGTGCGCTGTCTTCGCCGCAGTCCTCTGAGAACCGCAATCAACGGCCCAAAAGGGGGACCCATTTCTCGTTTCCTGAACGATTTCGCTGCTTCTTTCGCCACTGACGTACCATCGAGGGCTCCCTCGTCCCCTCTAAACCCCATTTAAACCTAGCGTAACCGCTGCCTTTAACGTCATCCTCAGTCCAGAGCGCGATGGGACCAGCTGTGGCTTCCTCCCTTGAGTTGTTCTTGTGTGGGGACTCCTCGTTCAGAAGCCCCCGGAAGTAGTTTTCCCACCTCCTTTTGACTTCGGCTGGCTTCCTTAGGATGACACCATCGCTGCCTTTCACACTGATACACCACCCTGATGTCTTGGGTAGCACGATGCCGGGCCTTAGCCAGACTGAAGACGAACTTCTCTGCGTTTCGGCTCTCCAACTTCTCGCACAGGGCCTCCATTTCTGTGCTCTTCGCCTTAGCAACAGCGGCCTTAGCGAGCCTCTTGCAACTCTTGTAGGTAGCGAAGTCCTCGGTGTTTCGCGTCTTCTGCCAGCGCTTGTATGCTCCCTTCTTCTGCTTCACGACTCGCTGGACCTCCTTGTTCCAGAACCACGCTGCCTTATCTCCTCTGAGTCCACCTCGCGTCTCGCCCAGGACCTCTTCGGCACATCGCGGGATAGTATCAGCCGCGCTGCTCCAAGTCCGCTGTAATGGCCCGTTAGGATCTGGGAGACCGACTTCCATTATCTTTTTCCTGAGTTCACCCTCCTCAGCTTGGTGCAGCTTCCACCACCGTATTCTCCTCTCGGTTCCTACCCTTGTCTTCTTGGGGAGGTCTATTGCAATGTCTGCCAGGAGGGGCCTGTGCTGGGGAGCCAGATCTTCGCCGGGTAGAACTTTGATATCCTTCACAGTTTTGAGAGAGGATCTTCTTACCAGCACATGGTCGATTTCCGTCTGTTTCCCTCCACTGCTGTAGTGCTGCATATTGCCAAGTCGTGGGCTGTAGCCAGGTACAGAACCCTCTCTCCCTCAGCGTTGCTCGTTCCTATCCCTCTACCTCCGTGCACCCCTTCTAGGCCTTTTCTATCATTGCCGACATGACCATTCAGGTCACCTGCTATGGTCAGGTAATCTCCTTCTGCAATCGATCTGATGGCATCGTCAAGGCTCAGGTAGAACTCGTCCCACTCTCGGGGCATCCGGTCTGCGGTGCGTACACCGACAGTATCGTCCAGTACCCCTCCTTCGTGTCTATCCTCACAGCCATTATCCGATTGCTGATCCTGTTCACAGCGGAGACATAGTACTTGAGCGACTCCGCTACCGCTATGGCCACGCCGTTCCGCTTGGTGTCCTCTCCAATGTAGTAGAGCTTGACACCTCCCCCGATATCCCTGGCCCTAGCACCTTTCCGTCCGTCCACTATCAAACAGCACTAGTGTCCTACATGTGCCTGTTAAGGTGGTACTGGTAATGATTACAGCAACGCCCTCGGTTCTTGACGGCTTAATTTTACCGTGTTCAGCTTCCCAAATGAGTGACTTTGAACAAAGTTATGATCGTTCAAAGGTTAAAAAGTCGCACTTGCACAGAAAAAAGTAACAACGTACTAAATTTTCATTGAATTAACTTTCGAAAAATTTTTACCCATGGTTGGAGAGAGAATAACTTGAATTTTTCAAATCAAATCACATTGGCGCAGAAGCTCGAATATGAAACAACTTCTCGCACAGGGCGTCCATTTCTGTGTTCTTCGCCTTAGCAACAGCGGTCATAGCCCTAGAAAGAGGAGTGTAAAAATTGTGTTGCAATTTTATTTTTTGCCTAATAACTTATTCAATTCAAATTTTTTGAGAACAAATCAGGTTCACCTAGAAAGGCTTAGCCTACCTTATCCAAAATCCACCACTTTCTTCCGAACTACCTAAATTTAACGAAGAAAAATTCGTACAGATGTCAAAACCCCCGCTCGTCGCCTAACCACGGTCCGCAAACGCGCTTCATTGTCAGGACACCAGTGGGCGCCATTAGCGCGATCGATACGCATTCATTACTTTGCTACCTCTACTTTTTATATCACTACCCCTGTTCTTGCGCCTATAGGAATTATGGGTCTCATCCGGTAAGGGGAGGGGAATGTGGTGCGACAGTTCACATCGCGTGAAATCATCCACTTCTTTGCAGGGGAGGGAAGTCTCGGGGGGGGGATGCAAAGTTTAAGCGAAGTGGTGCACGCACGTAGGGGATTCCCCCTTGCGAAAAATGGAGTTTCTGTATCCGGACCACATGCCATCTCTTAGTGGATGAAACCCTTTTTTTTCAAAGATTCTTTCCGCTAAATTCCATGCATTAAATGTGTCGGTGTATGTTTCACGTGACCCTTCAAGTGCATGTCAACCAAAAGAAATTTTTATTCTCATGCTACATACACAATACATGGGGGGGGGTCGTATGAAATCACCTATGGAAGGGGGGGGGGTCGTAAAAATTTCCGAAGAGTAACAACGATAGGGTTGACCCTGCTCAAGGGTGCCACCTGCCTTTAGACTAGCTTAAAGGCAAAATTCAGGATAATACAAGTGTGAAGTAGCGTTTACTTGTGAAGCTAGAGGTGTTAGGTGGTCTGAGAAAGAAAAGAAAGGCAAGCGAAACCACTGATTACGCCTTTCACAGAGGCCTCCCCTATTTCGGTCGCATTCCACCTTGGGATAGAGAACGGGCGCGTTGGACGAGTTTCACGGGCCTGCCTCTAGTTGCTCTAGTGCCAATAACGTTGGGTCGTGATGGGACCGCCGCCTCAAATGCACCCGTGCATTTCAAGCAGCGCCACGTGGCAGAGGGTGGGGCTTGCAGACAATGGTGTGAGTTGCGAGTCGGACGAGCTCCTTGCGCCTTTGTCGCGCACTTTCAAGCGGCAAAAGGAACGCGGCATCAACGCTTGTCCGCCTGCCTACTACCCCCGGGAAGGAACAGGCGAGCGCGCTCAATCGTGGAGCGTGCCTTTAAATTCTCTTTCCTATACCTTCCGAACTTACCGTAATAGCCTGTTCTTTTTAAGGTGAACCTCGGAATTGAGCTGGTGCTAAAGGCGCATTGTAGCGATAGCTTAGCCGCGGAAGGACCTGAAAGTGGAGAGGGAAGCGATAGAACTCTGAAATTAAGACCTTAACCTTCAGTATAGTCGGATGTGGTACGATGGCGAGAGAAGGCGACCAAAGAAGGCAAAATGCGCGAGAAAGCACGTCATTTGAGAGAGCACGCTAATCTCTACATCAATGCGCGCTGATCTTTCCACCTCTCGAGGTGGGTGAGAGGCACTGGAACCGGGGCAACCGGTTGCAGGCTCGTGAGGGTCGGGGCCATACCGCGCAATGTTTGCGAGGAAGCTAGAGTGATCAAGATAGATACGTGCTGTACAATTTTCCTTGCGGTATCCTTCCTACTACTCGGGCTAATCCTGGGGTTTGCCTTTAGATCCAAGGATTCCACGGTAAGTTGTCGGGATGTCCCCAGCGGCTTGTAGAGACCATTTTATGCAACTTTCCGTCCACGCTCTCGCTGTCTGCCTCAAATCGTTTAGCAAAGAGAGCGGTGGCGTTGAATAGGAAACACCGATGACAGTCACATCATTGCTCAAATCAACAGTCTAAGGAGGGCCCAATTCCCGAGTTCTGGGCGTTTTTCATAGTTTCTTCCTCAGCCCTGCTCCTTTTATGGCCGCTATATAGGCGAGGTTTCATGCCAGTCTTAATTATTTCATTTTTCCTCTCGCAGTCGCATTACAACATTTTTTCGCAAAGCATACTTCGCTGCCCTCGCAAACATAAACTATTTCGCATAGCGCTGTTCGCTGCCGCAAAATCGAAAAGATACCACGCAAACATGAGAAATTCCTAAAGTTCGAAATCGCGCTCCGTGATAGCTTCACTAACCACTCCTAACTTTAATGGGCTGGCTCTTCATCTTGAAGGAATCTTGTGCGGGAAATTATTGTACTCTTTCCTAACATATATATGTCAGTTGGGACCACTGGAAATAGCACACAAAGTTTCACGCATGAACATTGGTTTCTGAAGAGAAACAAACATACAAAAACTACACTCTATAGACCATCGAAGGACCAGGAGGCGGAGCCAGGCGAGGCATGGAAAGAAGACGGCGTTTGGCCGGCTACGTACCAGGCGACGCAATGAGAGAATCGGGTTGAAGCGCGCGATTTCGGAGAACGGAGAAGTGTAAGATGTGAATGCAACGAAGCAGAAGGCTAGAAAGAGCCTCTAGTGAATGCACTCCAAGAACCAAGTTTGAGCATCCCCGTCGCCAGCATTCGTGAAAGACGTCCGTGGGCAATTTGAATGCGTAGCAGCCTTTTTGGGTTTTAAATTTTTAACCAAAACGAAAGCAATACTTCCGTTCTTTTCAATCTTATCGTGGATAATGAGTCTCAAGCCAGTGATTTATGGCTGAAATAGAAGCACGATTTTCCGCGCAAGATTCCTTCAAATTCGCCTTCAAAAGAAGTCCCATCGATTGCAGAGCTGTGATACAGTGGGAAGGGATTTGCCTATCACCTCTATTTTAGAGCTGTTCGCATAATCAGAGAAGACATTTTGTCGCTCAAAACACGTTTGGGTCCCAAACCTGATGCCTAATCTCGTATCTTTCACAACTTCATGAAATGTTCACGTGTTTTTGTTTCATTCAGAAAAGCTCTTGGAAATAACTAGTGTAATATATACGTTACGCTGACTCAACCCGATTTACGACATAAACATATTTATCGCACAGATCATAATGACAACAAGAAATACATTCACAAGAGGGATTTATGATGAAAACACATCCGATACCTGTATTCTCTCAATCGTCTGGATTTTCTTTATTCCTACTCGACGGTAAAATTCTCAAAAAGTGCTAACATAACTATATGAAGGTAGACACCACTTAATCATAACAAAAACACAGGAAAACAACAAAACCTGGCAAGACCGGCAGGAAGCCTAAAAATCTAATCTGTAAGAGGTCTTGATACTTCCTCAGCACTGCAACTGCACAGGAGATGGTTTCCATCGCAAAACGAATCTCAAACGGGTAAACGAGAAGAGCACATATGTGTTATGGGTGTGGGAGGTGCTACAGCACATTCTCATGACTGAACATGACTCTGAATCGCTATAGCACCAGTTGCGACTCGTCCGCTGACCGTCTGCGTCTCTGCCTTCTCGCTACCCTAAACCCCTGTCGGGTATCCAATTCGAACACATTCTTCATTAATTTTTTTAACTCGGTGCAGAACTCGATGACCTTCGTCGAACTGCCACATCTTAGCCAAAATGAATGAATGCTGGTTGGCGTATTCCCTTCCTTTTAGCCTTACGTTGCGACATTCAAGTTTTTTATAAAAGTTTCTAGATAATGACAAGCGCAAAACGCTCTTCTGAATAGAAACGTTGGCCCCAGCATTTTTAGGTACACTTTTAACAAAATGTCCCAAGGGCTTTAAACACACATGCCGTAATACATCCAGTAACGGTATTTGACGCAAATTTACCACTTGGTTCTACTGACGGTTGCCGCGGTAGTGTGGTGCACTACACTGAGCACGTCGACCATTCGAGGTGGGTCGTGTGAGGCCAAGTAGGCGGTGTGTCGATGAATTTTCGGTGCAGAAGCTGTCTTCAGCCGCTGTTAAGTGAGAGGAGCGAAGGCGAACACTGCCGGGGTAGTGTGGAGGATAGCGTTTTCCCTAGTAAAGGGAAAGCGTGCGGAAGTGCATAGCTCGACCACATAACACGAGTGTAGGAGGAAAAAAATTTAAAATATATGTATCAAAAGTTCAAGATAGGCCATATTTCCAGGTGCTCTGTGCCTCGTCAATATTTCTCTTTATGGATTTTAACATTTATAAAAACCAAAGACGAGTGTCAGCGATGCAAATGTTGTTCAGTTCCATCGTCAGAAAGCATCAAAATACGTTGTTCACCTTGAGTGTAATTTTGATCATTGCGAAAGACTTCAGAAGAGTTGATCATATCCTTAGATGTGTCAAGATCCTGTTCTAACTATAAAGGCAAGCCCCAGGACTTCCATCGTCATCCATGCAGCGCAAATGCGATCTCATGGTCTCACACAGACCACGCCCACGTGGCCTGTTGTACGCCTTTTCACGTCTTGTTACGGCGCTTCTTCTTTGGAAAAATGGTCGCTTTCAATTGGAAGAAGTGAGGCGTGTATTAAAGGCACGAGCTGGTATCGAATTGGTGCCTTATTTGGTTCGAAAACAGACAAGAACTGCGATGAAGAAGATTTTGGGTAGAAAAAGCAAAAGAGCCATAGAAAATACTGAAATTTTTCAAAGTAGTCTTGCCAGCCCTTTGGTCAGCTGGGGCCGTATGCTGAATGTTGGGGAGGGGATCCCCGACTTTCGACGGACTACTTCAACTCGGGTCTTTAAACTGCCTCAGTTTGATGTTTATCTCAAACCTAAGCCTTGAAGGGAAGGATGGAAGGACGTTGAGGGTTGTGGTCACCGGAACGTCTCCCAATTCCTTCTGACCAATGGTACCCAATGACGTCATCAAAACCGCTCCGCCTCTCGGCCACCCCTACTGCCTTTATGAATAGCATGAAGTCGATCTCACTGAAAAAGAGTTGGAAACTATGGCGTTGGAGAATTATGGGATACAACATCCATTTCTGAATGTGTTCCTTTGCAGGTAAGACCGATCAAAGAAGATGGACCACGCGAGGGGGCACGCCGTTTGGGAGAGAATATTGATCTCTATATCGATAGCAGTTGCAGTGAGGGTCGAAGGTTGCAGGATCGTAATATACTAGCGTACTAATCGCACAAGTGGGAAACGAAGCTGGAGGGATCTGTGAAGAACGCACCCCCAAGGTGTCCTTTCCACTAGTCGGGCTGAGCCCGGAGTTTGCCTTCAACCTCGAGGTGAGAGGGGTGTGTGTGTGAGGAAAAGGAAGTAAAAGAAAGCCCCGATCAAGTCCGAACTCTTTACGAGCTCCTTTAGCTGTTCGTATGCCTGTCGCCAGTCCCTTTTTCAAGCTACCTTCACGTAATTTCCAGTATTTATGGAAATTTGAATATCCAGCTAAGCTTTCGTCCTCCCCGGACCACAAGCTATAAAAGAATGTCAATTCTACCAATCACGACTCCATCCTTGATCGGAATTTTTGAAGCCTATCTCACAGGGGGGGAGGGGGGTGTTGCTATCAAGTAAGGCTAGAGGCCTGCTCTCAAACTGAGGAAAAGGCGAAGGAGAAGAAGGACAATGATACTTAGATAACCTCGTATCAGATGACAATAACGGGCGCTATCTCACAGTACGGGGCATCCTCGACTGAGCCTAGGAGGTGCAGGAACTTCCGGGAAAATGAAAATCGCTCATGCGCACTAGATCCTCTTCACTTCCGCACAGGGCTTGGTCCCGTTTTTAACAAAAATGGGATGGTCTCGAATGCTTTGCCATAACAATGCCCCCTATCTTGCGATAGCGCCCGATTATGATTCCTAAACATGCCACAGCGGTCACTCGACCAAAATGGTATCCGAAATGTGCAAACACTCACCTGGGTGAAGTAATAGCAATATCCTAGCAGAGACAATGCAGCGCGATTCTGAAAGTAATCTGTGGAAGTGAATCGGATAAAATCCGTGTATACCGTTTGGTCAACGTACCAATGGAGTCCGTTGCACCTCATACTGAAGTATTCGGATCACCTCATTGTACTTTCCTTCTTTTATCTGCAAATATGCATGTTCTGTTTATACTGGAAGGCACGCAGATTCTCGAAAAGCTTCAAAATTAACTGGTTTTGTTTTAATTGTGGTTGTATAGCGATTTTCCGATTCTGGCAGGTCAACCCTGATTAGGAAACTTGGTACTTGCACTCTTCTTCTTATTCTTTAGCGTCTGTCCCGCTTGTAGGCGGGGTCCGCTTTTCTTATATGTTGGCGCCACTTTTCCCGATTAAACGCTTGATCGGGGTGGATATTAACAGACTTCAAGTCTTTGTGCAACGTATCTAGCCATCGCTGCTTCGGGCGCCCCCTAGGCCGCTTTCCGGGCACGTCAATGTTGAGACCGATCTTGCAGACACTGTCATCTTTCGCGCGAAGGACATGACCATACCATCGAAGACGGGCTTCGCGCATCTTGTCAACAATTGGGGCCACCCCGAATCGCTCTCTGATGACATCGTTTCGGATGTGGTCCAATCGTGTGACTCCGGCTGTCCATCGCAGCATCTTGGCTCTACCATCACACTAAGCCGTGCTTCGATCTCTTTAGTCGTAGGCCAGCACTCAGCCCGTAAATCGCGACCGGGCCGGATGACGGTCCTATAGATCTTGGATTTGAGACGTTCTGGCATGTTTTCATCGCAGAGAACGCCAGTCATCGAGCGCCATTTCAACCAGGCTGCATTCACGCGAAATTCGTTTCACGACCAGGCGCCGTCAGACGCAATTAGTCGATCCAGGTCTTGAATGATGTTGCACGAGTGAGTTTCAGTACCATTGACCTTAATAGGCCCAACTCACTCGTATCGGTGGTCAAGTACTCAGTCTTCTTGACGTTCAGCTTGAGCCGAACATTGCCAGACGGTCGGACCAGGCTTGCACCTGTTGCTCGAGCGCGGTTTTATTTCGCTAGCAAGCATCACGTCATCAGCATAAAGAAGCGTCCATGTAGCGGCTTCTGGAGATCTCTCGTAACGGCATCCATGACGACAACAATAGAGTGGGGATAACGCAGAGCCTTGATGTACTCCGACAGAGATGGGAAAATCATCGATGTTCTGCTGCCGTTTGCACTGGCTCTTTGGCTCGAGTAAGGATGCGTACCCACTCAAATAAGCTCTTCGGGACGCCATGCTGTCGTGAAAGCATACCTATACGTCACGTGAAACGCGATCGAAAGCCTTCTCCAAGTCTAGAAAGGCAAGATGAATCGGCTTTTGTTTTTCCCGAATGCTTTTTTCTAGCAGAAGGCGAGCGGCGTGTATGGCATCGATGGTGCTGCCAACTAGCCACAAAACCACACTGGTTGGTGGTCAGCTCGACGATGTCCCGGATACGGCATATACAACTCGTCAAAGATTTCATGCTGTGCGAGAGCAGGCGAATTGGACGATAGCTGTGCAGTCTCCTAGACTGCCCTTCTTCTTCCAGAAAGGAATCGTCGTGCTTGTTGCCAGTCTTTCAGGCACCTTCTTCTCTGCAACAATCTGGTTGAAGAACTCCGCGCAATACTTCTGCAGGATTCCAGCATCTTGATTTCCACAAAGCGCTGCTAAGTCGTCAGGACCAGTTGCTTTGCCTGATTTCATCTTCTTCTTGCCGTGATGGTCTCCTCCATGGTTATCTTCTGAACGGGTCCGTGTACTGCGCGAGCACAGGGGATGACGGGATGAGTAAATTCGACTGTTGAGATGTTTTTCGAAGTAGTCACGCCATCGCCTCCAGCATTTTTTGCGGTCGGTCAAGAGGTGGCCATTCTCGTCATTTATGCCGAAAAACCTTTCTACATCCTCGGTCTGGCGATAGCGGGTCTTCGCAAGTCGGTAAACATACCGCTCACCATCACGCGACTCGAGTTTTTTACTGATATCAGCAAAATGAGCTGCTTTCGCGGAAGCAACGGCTTCTTTGCCTCTTTCTTCGCTATCTGATAGTTCGCCAGTAATCAGTTTGTTCTTTTCGTTGAGAAATGCGTGGTACAGCTTCTTCTTTTCGCGCCACCTCTCTTTGACCTTGGTCCGTCCACAGCCAGTTTGGCTTGTTAATCTCGCGCGGTACAGGCTTCGTCATCCCCAGCTCGGAACGAGCCTATCGAGTTATTTCTTCGACAGCACCTTTCCAGGTTTCGTCGACTGTCGTTACGCTGGTAATCGAATGCGGGAAACGACGGCGCTTCTTTTCTTTTCAGTCGCCACCACTTAATTCTCACTGGCCCACACCTTCTCGGTAGTTTTGTTTCGGCGGGGCGATCTTAAGCGTACAAATTAGTGTCGGTGTTGGCGTGGCGACCTTTTCATAAGGCACTGTTTCGCGTCGGTTACAAGCCCTTGGTCGCGGCGCCTGACAACTACGAATCAATTTTGTTCTTGTATTACCGCATTAGAAGGTGATGAGATGTGGATCGCGTTTTCGGAATTTCGTTTCACAATGGCGAGGTTGTGCGGAGTCTGCATACTCGAGAATCGCTCTCCATCAGTGTTACGCGACCCATATCCAAAACCACCGTGACAGCTGACCCGTCCTTCGATAGCGCAACGTGCCCTTGAGGTCCACCTGCGACAATTATAGCTTCTTGTGACGGAACCTCAACTGTATTTCATCAAGCAGGGCTTCAGAACTTATCTTTGGCTTGTTCGAGCATCCGGTCTGCGAGCGTACGCAGAGAAGAAGTGGTATTTTCGTTCTTTCGATAACGGCAATGATTTTCATTAAACAGGTCGTCGAAGCGCTCCACGTTCACTATCGAATCACGGAAAGCGTTACAGAGACAATCATCCCGACGCCATTGGTGTTCTGGACTGCACAGAGAACGCTTTGAAGCCGCGGCCCAATGTCCCTCGACTTGCAGCAGGACCACCTCGTTGTCCTGCCACGGCCCACACGAAGTCTATTCGTCGGCGCCCTAGCGCTTCTGCCAGCTCGCGTGGAGCGGCCGTCAAGCGTGCCCAACATTCAATGTTGGCAACGCGGGTTTCTGATACGTTGCATGGCTTTTGGACTAGCCTAGTTGCCCCCGATGCGTCCTTGACCCGGAGACCCTCGCATACTTTTCACACTCGCCGGGCTTTGGCGAGTGCGCGTCGGCTCCGCGACGCCGTAGCATTATCTCGAAATTCATGTGGCGACATTACATGTGATGTGCACGTGCGTGTTCGTAGGCCGGCCTGTCACGTGGGCTGTCGCCTGCATTCGAATGTCCGTGTTCAGCTCACGCCACAGAAGTGGGCAGTCCCAGTGGCACCTCTTGGAGGAACGGACACCGCCACCAAACTTGGTTCTTGCACGTACTAGGCCTAAACTAGCGCTGACTCTGACCTTAACTTGAGCAGATCAATGTGTAAGCACTAGATTAAGCCTAAGCCTAACCTTATGGTTAGCTTTCGCCAGCTCTAGTGAACTAGTCGTCGAAAATAAACGTTTTTATTTATTTTATCTTCGCTTTTTTATTTTTTCGGTTGTCAGGCGGAGGGTGTCCTCTAATTAATTGCATATTGTTGTATATCATTTTCATGGTGAACCTTTAAGCATTTGTACGCTTGTAAAAAAAATGAAATTGATAAATGATAAAAAGAACAAAAAACAAAAAAAAACAATGATAAATCCAGGCGCCGAGACGAAAAGGGCAGGCGCGGGTTTACACGGTAGTACATTAAAGGTCTTTAGTTTATTTTAGATGCTGTGAACTCATTGATAGGTTGATGTTCTGCTCGTCTCTACTTTTACATCCAATAAACAAATCGATAAGTTAGAAACAAGGAATTAAGAAAATATATAAAAGCATATGCTGACCATTCCGTAAATGGTGCTGTGTGAATTCGCCGTCTTTGATGGAGCGAATGAAATTTTCAAGATTGAGCTTCGGTAATTAATCGGCAAACCACAGCGACGATAGCGACTACGCGGCGAAATTTGTTGACTGTTGATCACGGCAACAACGGCCATCTGCGAGTGTGAGATCGCAGACCGAGTAGAATTGCAAATAATGGGGTTTCTAAGAGGGTTTGGTTTACAGTTTAATTTTACAATATGCATTCTGCAGGATTTCTGACTGACCTGGCTGCACCTTTATCCACCAAGTGACATGGAAGTGGCCAGTAGAAAATTCCGAAAAATTGGATTAGGTTTTGGGAAGTTCAGGCCGGCTTGATGCAGCCTGTGTCACGCATGGGCAGTAGACCCATCAAAGTTGTTCTCATTGTCGCAGCTCGAAAAACCGCGACTATACCGCTAGGGCCTTAAAGGCAGTTACGCTAGGTTAAATGGGTTTAGAGGGACGAGGGGCGGTCGTTCAAGGGCGACGTCCGTGCGAAGAAGCAGGAACGCGTTCAGGAAACGAGAAATGGGTCCCCTTTTGGGCCGTTGATTGCGGCTTCTCAGAGGACTGCGGCAAGACCGCGCACGCCTGGGACGAGATTACGCAACGCGTGCTGGACAGCAAAAAGCAGCACTGACCCTTACCGCGCCGCGGCTGGCCAACGCAGCTCGCCACAAGCCACCGATGAATCATTGGGCGTGACGGTGCAGGGGGCGAGGGGGCATAGGTTCTGGTCAGCAACCAACAGCACTGTTCGCAGTGGAAGCGCCACACATCGCTTCCTTGGCGGCCAAGTAATTGCTCTTGTGGGCGCGAGATTCTTCGCAGATGTGAAAATTCCTTTTCGTATCTACTTCTTAAAAAACGATCTTATCGTAACTAATACTAATTTACCTATGAGCGAGAATACTCGTGCACATATGCGTGATATGCAGCGTGGATTACAACATAGCGGTTAATTCAAACACTTACAGATTTGTGAAGCCATGGAGCAAGCAAGATCAGACAACCCGTCCGTTGGTGCCTCTCTCACTGCAACAAAGAAGAGCAGGAATCCTTGTCTGAATTTGCTTCGCTTCTTTTTTCCCCTTTTATTCAAGTCGGCCACGCGCAATTTCATTATCGACCCCCCCACAATTTGGCTACGACTTTTTTTCCTGGGGGAGGGCTTCTAAAAATGCAGTACCCCATATTATTTATACTTACTTACACGATAATTCTACTTCGTCAATACAGTAACCCTAACTGAACATCGACGCACAAAAAAATTCTATTTTTTTGACCACCATTTCTATCCTGCCTGCAAAACTTCATGAATGATTCCTTTTTAGGATCGTTTCTGTCGAGCTGCCATCTTCTTCAAACGGCGACTGATGAGAAGGCATCAAATGACATTTGTGAATGGAAATTATGGGAGGACTTCCACGCCCTGGCTGAACATATCAGAGGAAACGTGATGAAATTGCTAACAACAGACTTCGTTATAGAGTAATGAACAAATATTTATTCCCAGAACCACATGCCTCTAAACGCACAGATGGGACGATGAGCCAATAGCCTGGAGCATTTTTCGCAAATCACTTTTTCCAAATCTGTAAACCATAGCGAGATGAACATCTCGACTGAAACAAACTGTCAGGCATGACATGTAAGCCACTGCGATAAGATTGTTTCTGGAAATCTGGCTGCACATTTACACGGACGGTTGCTCTTCACGATAAGACTCAAGAATAGACCTAAAGGCAGTGTGTGCGATAATTTGGGCCAATCCAGGGAGAGTAGGCATCACCCAAACCGGTAACCAAGGCGCTAAAGGCACCAACATGGGGCGGTTTTTTGCGGCAGAAGACGCGATAGTTGCGAAGCATCTAGGTCCTGAACCCGGAAACGCCCGCCTCCTACGAACCGCTCCGCCGCTAGGCGTAGCCGTTTGAACTGTGTGGCGTGGCATCCTTGTCATTAGCGTTCACGTTTACGATTTGAAAATGTACTTCGCGATTCGGACGATGCTATCATGTAATCGTGTCGTTTCTCATAAACTATCGGGACGCAATCACATAAACGGTTATTATCTAAAGCGTGAACTCATCCAAAGCCAACGGGCACAGTGACGATTCCAGTTCTCGGTTTGACTGTTTAGGTCTCTCCTTCACTGCAGCACCATTTGGCACCCCTGCTTTCACATTTGATTACCATAAAAATATCGTAGTCCCTGCCCTTAGAATCGTGGGCATAATGAGAGCCCGGAACTCCAGCGTTTTCCGTCCAGGTGCTAACAATTATAAGATGCAACTCGCTGTGGCTTCCTCAGGTAATTTGAATAGGGCCATGACGACTTGGAAAGCCAGGTTGTATGTGTGCCGGCGGCTCTTTTCCCATGTTCCCTCACCAGCCAATACCTGGTCAGTGGATAACGCCTTGAGCAGCCAAGAACAATCGCAAATAACAGAGCAATTACGGCAGGCCTCCTTGAGCTCGACGGTGACGACAGATGACGTCATATTCTGGATACGGTGAAAGCAGCGAAGGTGGGCCTGATTCTGTTTATGGGGGGACATCTAAGGAATAATTCGTCATATACCTCCCAATAACAGCGGCATCCTTTGCGTTGAAAAGTTCGATGATATGCGCCATGGACAAAGTGACTCTTTTTTTGCCCCCCCCCCTGTATAGTGGACTTGTGAACGGCAAAGGTCAGGAATAGTGACCAAACCAAACCCTTCCATCGTCTCTGAACGTGAATACGCACCCGCAGAGACGGTGCCACGCTCAAAATCCCAAAAGTGTGGATAATAAAGCCCCAGGGGATGCGTTGTTCGCTATCAACGCTTGGCGGGCGCTATGCTCGCCCACCTTTGAAATGGTGTGTGGCTGGCAATGCGTGTAAATCAGCTAGGCTGATTGCCGTATCAACCAAAGGCACAGAGCCAGTCCGAAAAACTCATTTGGACGTCCCTCTCTCCCAAACCAGCCTCCTTCAGTACTAAAGGGAGGGTTTTTAATTCGGCCTTGTCGATGGTTTCTTCTCGTTTTTTTTTCTCCACTCTGCACTCAATTTCAAGCGCCATAGTACCCTTAATTAAGCCCGACTTTTGTCTTCGAAAATTCTGCTGTAGACTTCTCCGTCTCATTCACTCATGTGTTGCTCAACACGTTGACGACATCGCGCGTCTTCGGTTTTGCTCCGCGTGGGACAAGGGCGCTTTGCGAGCGGGGCCGTCACACCTCACACGCGTAAAGTTCGGACGATAACCTTGTGAAGCTTCAAAGGTACGAAACAGGGTCAGCCGTCCGTTGGACAAAGTCCAACGCATGGCTCTCTAGCGTGTGAGAGTAATGTCGAGAGTGAACGTAGGCACGGAGACACAGACGGCTCGCGCAAGGCGAGTGTGAATGCCGGCGCGGAGAGCGGTTAACGTCGGTCCAACTTCGGTCCAATATCGGTCCAACGTAAAGCTTGACCCTGGTACGAAGCCATTTCAGCAATATTCAATGCGTAGAAAGTAATGGAAGATATAGTAGCAAAATTTCGATCAAATAGCGTGAAATGGTAAAGAAAATTGCAATTTAAGTCCTTTCGCTGAAGTGAATGCCAGAACTATCTTCGATGTGGATGTGTCAAGCGAAACATATATCTTTCTGTCCCTTTATGTTTGTATTTACCTTCACTACCCTTCCTCACCACTGACATGTTCATAAGAATACGAGGGATGAACCGAGCTGCCAATTCCGCTGTGCTTACAAATCCCCACATACGCGAGAAAAAGGGATGAACACAACTACGCCTTCGAAATAGTGGGACGAAGTTGATGAAAAATACCTGTGTGCCATAAGCCATGCCCTTTGCCCTATTCGAAATCGTCACCCTTTTTACAAACATTATTCATCGCTAGAGCTGATTTCTGAAATTAGCTTTGAAATGAAATAAAAGAAAATATTTCCCCACCTTGTTGCAATGAAGCCACCATATTGGTGGCATCATTGCGGCAAATTGAGCTCATAGCTCGTTGTTTCAGGAGCCTTTTCCATGGAATGAATTATCGCGGGAGTTGCAGGTGAAAGTCCTGCAGAATCTTTGCAGTGAATCTTGACGAATGTCGATGCTGAACATCGAGGAAAGACGTAAGAACTTAATTCAGGCTATAATCCGAAAATAGAGGAAGCAGATTTTTGTGGACGTTTGGTTCTTTACATGAGTCGTTAAGATCACCTTCATTTTTGGCTGATCTCTAAGCAAGCACACTAAGAGTGATTTGTGTGAGCAAGGAGGAACGTCACGGTCGAGATTGATCATCTTCTCAGTGAAGAAACCTAGTGAGTTGGTCATTAGCTTCATCCTTGATCGAGTTCAAAGGTCCATGCGGTTCAATATATGCATAGTTTTTTTTTTTGAAAAACATTTTTCCAGGACCATTTTCTGGGTAAGCAGAATAACGCGTTATGCATAGAATTGGGCAGCGCGTCTCTTATATTCGATGATCCACGTGAGACTGGAGAGTCTTTCTTGCAAAAGGCTTCCTTCTTGGACTCAGTTCCTTAGATTTGATGATTATCAGCAACTTAAGTCGGGATCCATGAGGTAGGTAGGAGAAATCCGTATTTTCGCGGCATACCAGACCGAGTGTACACTAATTTCTGCATAAGCAAGCTTTCTCAAATTCTTGATGTTGTTGACGGTTAAATTAAATGTGAGAGAAATTTCATCATTGAGATTCCTTTGCTTGAGAATCACATGTATGATTCTTCCTGAGGCTATACTAACTTTGAGGTGCCGGAAACCGCTGCCTGACCGTCGGTCTATGCATCATTCTTAATGGAACAAAATTAAGGTGGGGGACGTAATGGATAGTACTGAAACGTCACTGGGATTTACCGTTCACTCCTTTTCCTTTTGTGGTCGATTACTTCAGAACGACCGATCCTAGGACTCTATACAATCATAATTCTCCTTCATCTTTCACAAACTCAGGCCCAGACATTTTCACTGCCGGTTTGAAGGTCTCAAAGGCTCCAGTCAAACGTGTTTCTGCGGAGTACTTTTTAGTGAATATATTTGTATTTCAGTCTTGAATGAGGAAGCAAAAATTGGTATGGCGGAGAATTATCACTGAATTGTCTCGTGGGAGCG